TCAATTTTGGGTATTTTGGCAAAATTTGGAATTTTTAGCCAAATTTGGGTATCAAGGGCATTTAGGTAATTTGGAGGTGCCTAGGGGCAAAATACCAAGTTAAGCATTTCACATAGAATTGGATAGATATCCATTCTAAATGAACCAGGGATTAATATATTGTGAAGATATGGTGTATCCTAGTTCCAGGGTCGACCCTAAAGCCAAGTAATCCTATAGGGACTCTTCTTGAATTCTCTTATAATGATCTTACCTACTAAATGCTAGAGGTTAAGATCAATATGTGGAATTTCAAGCTGAGTAAAAAGAAGAGTTTTGAATTTCTAATGGTGGGGTACCTCTTCTAATTTTCTAAGACTAGTCAATAGGAAAGTCCTATGGCTAGACCTAGGCTACTAAAGAAGTTTTCTATACCTCAACCAAAAGTGAGGTCAACAGTGGAGATTTGTTATGATATGACTTATACATCATATAGGGACAGACGCTGGAACGAAATGGAGTGGAGCAGAAGAATTTGTCCAAATCGGAAGTTATGTTATGTGGGTTGGGGGTGCGGGGGCAACGCCCCGTGGTACGGTACATGGGTAATATTGTAATTACATGTTGTACTTAGGGTTTACTTCTGAGGTTGTAAATAGACCCGTTTGTAACCCCATGAGGTATCCCTGAATTCTGTAATCCTTTTCTGAATATTGAAAGGAATCACCGCTCTGCTCCTTAGGACGTAGACATCTTTGCCGAACCTTATTAAATCTTTGCGTTCTACTGGATTTCTGTCGATTCCTGTTTTTTCTTCGCCCTAATTTCTCAATACTTTTATTTTCCCGTATTACCAATCTCTCAATACTTTCCTGACAAGCTATGTTGTACACCCATAACTCCTCATCTTTCACAGGCCATTGGCTCAATAATGTCTTACCTATGATTTATCCCTACTAAGCATTAATGATTTTAACTGAAATTAATCAAAGTTCGAATCAAGATTCGAGCCATGTTCATAATATGTTAGAATTCGATAATCTTAGAGCTGGTTTCAAATGACTTTGGACTCCAACAAATATTATATAAGAAGTTGTCATTCATTTGGATTAATTTCACAAGAAAAGGACTTTTAGGCATACATCTTTAAAAAATAAACATCAAAACATTTGACTAATTAAGCGCATAATGAGACATATAAATCAAATTTCTCGTTCATATTGTCAAATTTCTCTCACATTTATGCACACATAAACACATTATGTCCTCATCTGACAACTATAGTATTGCTACTAATTTTTTTTATATTTGATTCATTAAATGAAAATTTAGATGAAAGTATTTGAAAAATGGATATATTTCAAATACGATATAAAGTAAATCTAATATTTAAAATAGCTTATACAATTTAACAATTTATAACAAAAGAGAGTTTTTTTATTTTATTTTTTTTTTCTGCTTGCAAAATAAATATTTTTGTTAGAATGGAAGACATGCGAGCAGTGATGAAAGCTGACGGTCTATATTGATTTGTGATGACATTAATGAATTATATTTTGAATTATATGATTTTGGGACATCAAGAAAGCTTCAACTTACTAAAAAAAAATAACTAAAATTTATTTTCATTTATTCAAATGTTTGTATTATTAAAATATTATATTTAAAAATTTAAATGATTGATGTGTTAAAAATTCTAAAAATTATTACATTTAAAATAAATTTTTACAAAAGCCTCCCGATCAAATTTACCGCAACTCTAAGTATCATTAAGCGTGCGGGTCGATAATAGAATCACATTTTTGAATAAGAAGACAAAACACGTGATACAAACGGTACCACTGTATTTTAGAAAACGCCCGACACTTATAAGCTGCCACAAACGGGGAAAAAGATTGCGTATGTCAATCGTACACAGAGATGTGTACGTAATATGGTACACGGGCGTTATACGAGAGTTACATGGGGGTTACAAGCGTGTTATACCTTCCTTGTAACTTTCGTGTAACTCACCTGTAACTTGCGCTTTTATTTTATCCACTGAGGTTATAAGATTACAGTGGGATTACACGGGAGTTACATAGGAGGTACAACGGGGTTATAACTCCTTGTAATCTCCGTGTAACACTCATATATTCTTTTACGTACGTAATTCCTGCATAAGCTTGACGTACTCAATTTTTTTCCCACTAAGAAACGTTAGTAATTCCCCTAATTTTGGAAGTAGAAATTGATTAATATTTAATAGTATGATATATGCTTTGGAGTCCGGATTCTCGCTTTATGCGCAGCCCTCGCCATCGTCTTCGCGGAGCGAGATAGAGGAGGAAGACAATGGACAATAACTGTTCGATGCTTTGGGAGATCTTCGGCCCCGGCGTCGCCGGAGCAGTGTTCTCCGCCGGCTGGTGGTTCTGGGTCGATGCCGTCGTTTGCAGCGACGTCAAGATCCCCTTCATCCATTATCTCCCCGGTACCCTCTGTCGGATTCACATCTTCCTTTTGGTTTTGCTCTTCAAGTTTTATATAATGGAGATTGTTGTGTTTTGGTTTGCTGCTGATGGGCTCTAGTTTTTAGGGATTTTTGCTTCTCTGGCGGCTCTCATGTTCAACAGCGTGCGGAAAGAGGACATCACATACGATTATTACTCTCCATATGGGGAGTCGGAGTGGAGGTCAGTCCCTTCAGATCTACATCGCTCGGTGCTGCACGGATTTATTTTTGGTTTCGTATTCGGTACCGTTCCTAACATTTTTCGTTGATTGATTGACCTGAACACGGTAATTGGGGTTTCTTTTTTAGAACAGTGGAGACTCCCTACTTATGTTGGTTGCTGTTTTCAAAGATAATGATATAACAAAAAAATATCCAAACTAATGCATTCTGGGGAAGATTAGCAACCTTGAATAAGGTTTTGATTCAAGGTTTTGATATAGACAGATGCAATCTTGCAAAGAATCTTACTGTGGCAGCCATGAGCCACGCTTTTTGTCTTTGGAAAATAATATTGAATCTGTTGCAATGCGAAATCAAAATTGACAATTGTTTTGATTATATTATTTTTTATTTTTATGATAGTGTCATCTCATGTCTTGATTTGAGAAATGTGTTACCCGTGCTGGCATTAATTGAAAACTGCAGTAAGAGTGCTTCTCTGGGAAGATTTGGTTGAAGAGGTGATTATTGTAGAAGTATTTTGGCTTCACCTAATGAATCGATGAATTTTATATTGTTGATTTAATCCTAGGTGAACTAAAAAATAGGTAAACACTAAATCATTTTCGCCTTGCTCTAGGAGCGTTAGAGTTTGCATGGGCTTTTGTTTACCATATTTGTAACCTTTTATAGCAGAAGGTTTACACTTAATTAATTACCATATTTGTAAGTATCTTAAATCTATTATAAAGAAGAATGGGGATAGAGATATGGATATTGCTTCCAAAAATATAGCTTAGGTGGTTAAAATGAAGGATTGCCTTTGGAGTACTATGTGATAAATGGTAAGTGGATATCATGAAACCTTAATGATAAATTTTATATAACTGTAATAAGTCATTGTTGTTACGGCAGTTTGAGTGCTGAGCAATTAAAAAATTGTTAATGATTAAGTTTGTAGTAGCAAAATGATAAGTTTAATATGAATGGATAATGAAATTGAGAAGGATAAACTAAGGGATTATTATATTAGATAAATAATTTGAGAGGCACTATCAAAGACAAGGTATGTAAAAAGACAGATGATTTTGCTATGTACAACGAAAGTAAAAATTTGAATAAAATAACAAACACAACAATTTTGAAAGCTTAGATGATTTCATTATCCAATGTAAGAAACACAACGACTAATGGAATTCGATCTTAATTATTATTTGAAAACAAAGCTTGATTTATCATTAATTGATGTGTTTATTACGTATGTTTTTCACAGTAGAAGAAATAAGAAAAAATCAAAGAAAATCAAGATAGTGTATAGGCATTGTTTAGAGCAGAAAACATGCAATTAAACTGAGAGCACAAGGTCTTCATATTGATTAAACAGTGCTTGAGTGTGGAAAATGGCTCCTACGTTGAACTGTTTTACATGTCACCTTGGCGCAGGTAAACTGACACAACAATGCTAATTTATGGCACTAGAGATATAAATAAAATTGATCAGAAACTCAAGAGCTCAGTAACAACGTTGATTTATGACACTATAATGCCAAAATAAAGAAAGAAAATGGCTTTAATATAGAGAGTTGAGCACCTCAATGCTGCAATTTGGACACCTTGGCCCTATAATAAGTAGTATTCAACCCAAAGGATAGAGAACTTTGCGTCTTGGCTTTGCAACACCAAGTGTAGTGACTGTGCACCACAAGGCACAATGCAGCGGCGTAATGGCTCGACAAAATCAGGTATAAAGCGGTTTTGGAGCTGATTGAGAGTTATTGGAGCAGTTGCAGGAGTTACTTGAAGAGGGCTCGTGTTGACTGTAATAGGGGACAAGAGTGAGTGAGAGAACAGTCTTAGTTCTCGTTCTAGAATGTGTGCAGGAGTGTATTGGGAGAGAAGTGCCTGTTTTCTTGTAAGAGTGTAGGCATGGAGAAGAAGAACATTTGAATGCAGAAGAAGAGATTTTTAGAAGGAGATTTGAGTCAAAAGTTTAGTTTTATCTTTTAAACTCTTGTGATATTAAATATTCAACTTTAATGAATTTTTTTTTTAATTGTGCTTTTCACCAACAACTCATGCATTAAATTCAAATAACTCTGTATTTGTGGTTGCTTGTGCTTTAATTTTGTAATTCCTTGATTTGTTCTGCTAGATGTTTTAAATATTGCTCAAATTACTTCAACTTATTTGAGTTTATTGTAATGATCATAGGTTTATTTTTAAAACTAATTTGATCTATAGATATCAAAAGAATTATAAAGGAACACTTAGTAGCAATTTGATAGATTTTTGGATAAGATAGGAATATTTAAATACTTAGGGATTTGCAATCATAAGAGAACAAACTTTATTACAATTGATCTTCATAAATCATATAGACATAATGGATTAGAAATAATTAATTATGTTTCCTAGTTATTGATGAATATAAGAAAATAAATTAGTTTCTGATTGAGAAATCGCAATAATAATACATAAGTAATTAACAATTCTCGGGTGTATTTTGTAATTTGTCCAACTTCATCTTTAATTTAATTGAATTAATTTTAATTATTCAATTTGATAAGATTGTTGGATAAAAGATACAACAACAACAACAACAACAACAACAACAACAAAGCCTTAATCCCACTACGTGGGGTCGGCTACATGAATCCTTTTTCTCCATTGCGTCCTATTTAGTGTCATATTTTCATTTAGTGCTAATAAATTAAGATCATTTTTATGCAATGAGCCCAAGTCTTCCTATGTCTACTTCTGCCTTTCTTAACATAAGTCGAGCCGCCGGAGAAGCCAAAATTGAGGGCCACCCCCGTTTAAATTCACCCAATTAAAACCTAGAGGCCAGCTCACCCAATTTAAATTTTAGAGCCTCTTCGCCCTCCATCTAAGCATCACATTGCACCCAAACATTGACTCGGGCATCCAGCCTAAACTAATTTTTAAAAAAGCTCCCCTTCATGACCATGGAAGTGTGTTGAAATTTTCTCAGAGAGAGCCCTCCAAATTGCTCATAGAGACTCTTTGAGACCTCCTCAGCTCAAGCCAACCATTTCCCTTACTGATTCCCACTGTGGATGCCCATATTTAAGCTAAATCTTTTGCTAAAAAACATGGCAAAGCTCAATACACCTCCACAGTCCACCAAACTCAAATTAAACTCACCCACACCTTCACCACAGTGGAAGAATAATAAGCTCCATCAAATCCCCCTTCCGTAAGGACCCTAACATAGCTCTAGACCAACACCTGAAATCAAGCTTGATCAAATTCATACCTAGACCTTACACTAGAGCAAGAGGCTCAATCCCTAGCTTCCTTGGACCTCAATGAACATACTAAGCACCTCTGATTGAAGCTTCCCTTCTTAGAGCAAAGGTATTGAACTCCCTCTCTTCCCGAGCTTATTTTGATTCCCCATTTTCTTAGGCTTAATTTCATGGCATCTTAACCATATAGATATGTTCCTCTAGTCTAGAGAAGCATTTAAAAAAAAAATCATTCAATTTGGTTGAGAAATGAGCAAGATATCAAGCCTTGAAGATGGATAGTCCTCAGGCTAAGGCATTGGGGACGATGACGGAGAACCGTCCGATTGCGCGTTCATCTCATCAACTGACGAGATCAAGCCGGACAACTCTCCCTTACATGAACCACTGGCCTAGTCACTGCTGAGGTGGATGGCGGCATCAAATAAGAGTGCGCCATGTAGAGCTTCAGAGCCGTCGCAGGTTGACATGGCACCGCATGTTTAAGAAGATAAATAGGAAATTAAATAAATCGAAAGAAGCTCCCTATCTTCAAAAATCCATATCTTTATGTAGAAAAATCATAAAAATAAAATAAAAATACCCTCTTGCTTAATGAATAGAGGAAAACAATGTGAAACAATTTGAAGTCCATTTGATGTGTATTTCATTTTTAATAAATCAATTAGTGTTAGGAGTCTTTTAACTCTCCATGCATGTAATCATTTCACCATGGCTTGCAATTTTGACATGTGGTAGTCTCTAATAAAGGGAACATTTCTTGATTTTTCTAAAGTTAGGGGAGACCTCTAAATAGAGATCCATATTTTTTAAGCTTATGTCTATTATTTGCATAAATTAATCATAATAATTAGCATGTTACTTAGAAAAATCCAAGAAAATTTTGGTAGGTCTACTATGACTACAGAACTATTTGAAAAATCTTTCATGAGCCAAGTCATTCAAAATGCACATAATCTTCACAAATCCTAAAACACAAAGATATTTAATTTTGGAAAATACAAAAAATAAAATAACTTGATTTTAAATCTCCACTGTTGCTTAAGGCTCAAAGAACTCTCGATAAAAATTTCAAAATATTTTAAACTCATTCGATAACACAAATTAATTTTCAAAGTTAAATGGCATTTTGATACTAAAATGATTTTTAATAATCAAATTATAACTCAAAAAAATTATGAAAACTAGTTTTTGGAGTTCTCTATGATCAAAAGAATTTTATAAAAGTAAAACGGAGTTTAAAATAAAAACTTCTTTTTTAGCCTATTTTTAAATATTTAAAATAATTAAAAAAATGCTAAAAATCACAAATATAATAAAATTTATGAAAATGTTATAAATTGTTTTCTAAACATTTAAGAACAATTAAAATATTTTTCGTGACTTTCTAAATGAAGATATTGAATTTTAAAGCTTAAAATAACTTTTAAGGCTAAAAAATTGATTTTCACCAAAATAATTCCAATAAATCAAAGAAAAATCAGAAAAATTTAAAATTTTCTTCTTTAAGCTCTATGACCTTTCTCATAAGAAAATAATCAATTTGTGTTTTATTAGATCCACTCTTATAAGTAATAAGATGTTCATCCCTTTTCTTGAATAAAGTATTAGTAATAACAAAATCAAACGCTAAAGCAAAATCTAAAATAACTTTACCTTCTTCATTAGTTACTCCAAAACCGTAGCCACCATGAATATTTCTGAAATCTTCTACCACTCTACCGACATGTCCATTTAAATCTCCTCCAAT